TGGACATCAGTAGGAGGAGAAAGAGTTGAAATACATTTAGCTCGTGAGGCATCTTGCACACGTTTTCTGTTTCCTTTTGTTCCCTTCTTAATTTCTTTGAAGTGAAAAGAGCAAAAACTTTCAGGTCTGTCCTCTTCATTTTAATATTGATTGTTTTCATTTAAATGATGATAATTTTTCATGCAAGGTTTTCATTCAGCAGACAAATGCATTCAGATGGGCACACACACTAAAAAGCTTGCCTTCTGTTTCTGTGATTAATTGAGATGTAGAGCGTGATGGGTGTGGAGTAAAAATAGAAAGGCAATTAGTGCAACTAGGCATGAAATACATTGAGATACAAGCAGAATGTCTCCCCAGTTAGTGATCTCTTTCTGGGCTCTTGAGGATTAACATCCCATTAGTAAGTCACTGGAATGGAAATCTTCAGCCTTTGGGGAGACGAGAGCATTAAAAATGGAATTAACTCTACTGCAAACTGAGTCAGCACAGTAGGTCATTAATTCTACTCCTTGGGTATATATCATGCTGAGCTTTGGTGTGTGGGCTTCTGAAATATTAGAAGTGAGTTTATAAAGCATTGCAAGGACTAAATGATGGTTATCTATCATTCCATCCTTCACCCTCACTGCTGAGATACTAAGGTCTCTGGTGGTTCAAAACCAGTGTTGAAATACAGACAAAAGTTTTTACTAGAACCAGTGGATATGGACCTTTACTTAGAAAAGCTGTGTATTGTATATTTTGAAAAAATAAATTTCTGTTGCACTTACAGAATATTAATGATTCCTAGTTTTTAAAAAGCTGTGTCCTCAACTAATAAAGATGAAAATACCACAATGCCTCAAATAGTATCCTTCTGAAAATTGAGAATTACATCTTTCTGCATGAAGTTGACTTGTTTTACTTTCTTTAGAAATACCAGTGATATTAAAAATATTTTCAAATAGGGGCACCTGGGTCTTAGTTGGTTGAGTGTGTCTGACTCTTGATTTCAGCTCAGGTCATGGTCTTGGGGTCTTGGGATTGAGTCCCGTGTCCGGGCTCTGAGCTTGGCAGGGAGTCTACTTGAGGATTCTGTCTCCCTCTCTCTCTGTCCGTCTCCCCTCACTCACGCGCTCTCTCTCTCTCTCTTTCTCAAATAAATAAATAAATCTTTAAAAATTGCTTACAAATAAATTTCTAAGTATAGAATATATTGAAATATTGAATATTGAATATTTTCAGGCAACTTATAGTACTCCCTGATTTCTGATAATCTTCTGTTTCTTTTAATCTTCTACATCCTAAGAATTGCTAACAGATAGTATTATCTCCTTTGATCATCTCTGTGTAGCACAGTCATTAACAACTGCCATTTACTGATTGCTTACCCCAGGGTTTCTCACACTTGGCAATACTGACATTTGAGTCCAGATAATTCTTTGTTGTAGGGCTGTCCTGTGCATTATAGGATGTTTAGCAGCATCCCTGGCTTCCACCCACTAGATTCCAATAGGTGTATCCCACACTGACCATCAGAAATGTCTCCAAACACTGCCAGTTGTCCCATGATGTCAGAATCTTCCCTGACTGAGAACCACTGGTTTATCCTCTATTAGACATTATTTCACTTGATACTACAATAACTTCACAAAAATGTGGGACTTTGTGAATTGGAGCCTTGGTAGGAAATAAGACCTACACAGTATTGGTCATAGACTTTTTTGAAAGGACTACTTACAACTGCTTAGAGGTGTTGAGGCACCCAGAAAATAGCAATAGTAAGAAGACATTCTCACCCTGAGGGCTAAAAAAGTAAGGAGAGGAAATAATGTTCTGATGTGCTGGGAAAGCTGGAACCATGGAGAAGCCTCTAGAGGGAAATGAAATCAGGAAGAGACAAAACAATACTATAGCAGAGAGAGCAAAAGGTACCCTGGCTCCTCCTTCCTCCTTAATCCTTTGTCACTAAAAAGTCCTACCAGTAGGTGAGCCCAAATGAAATCCAACCAGCAAAGGACTGAAGTGATGCAACTCCAGGATTTAGCCCTATGGGCTCAGACACAGAAGACAAATGGAATCCATTGGGACAAATGGAGGAAAAAAGAAAAGAAAACAAGAAAAGAAAAAACTGTCCCCAATTTAACATGAAAAACTGAGATTTAAAGAAACAAAGTAATTCACCCAAAGCCAATGCCCTCCATGCACTACTAGTAATCTATAGCTGATTTGCGTAAATGAACGGACATTCAGTGAGACTATGAATTATTCAAGGTGATTGACTTTAGTAGCTGATAGATACAGGACCAGAACCCAATTCTCATTCCTAGTCTGGTGTTCACTTTTTTTGTGTTGACCTTTGAAAGAAATTTAAGAACTCTGTATCCAGCCCATTCTCCCAACAGACAAACATAAGAATGAAAGCTATGTGCTGACCTAAAAAGTCACTTTTTCCTAAAAAGCTTATGGAATTCTAGGTTTCATGTAGAATGTTTAAATGGCATATGCTGTTTTTCCAAGCTTTTGGCACATTTCTGTCTTGATTGCAGAAACTCGGCCCCAGCTGGTGCAATGTGTGAGGAGAGGGAGGAGGACTGGACTGAGAACCAGGGGATTTGGGGCCCAGTCCTAGCTCTGTCACTCCTAGCCATGCAACCCTTAGCAGGAATAGCAATAATTAAAATTCCAGAAACCATTTCTTACCTTTTGCATTCACCCAGATCTTCACAGTTATTTTCAGGTATCTAATTCGATGGCCATAACTCAAGGTGTTAGATTTTCATGTTTCACAAATGAAGAGTCAGGCTTAGAAAACACTAGAGTCTCACTGAATATCCCATAGTTGGGAAGTAGACTCAGCTTCACCTTTTCCCACAGAAAACATAGTACACTTTCTCTACCCCATCTTTTAAAGTGATTAATCAATTGATTTACTTTCTGGACAGCTGGTCGGTAGCATCTAATACTTTAAATTTCATCATAAAGGCACGTCTAGATCGAAGTCTAAGAATCTGTGATTTTTGTCTTTGGGTTATAACCAGGGCTATGGTGGAAACCCAATATAGTTAGCACATAGGGATTCCTCATTTCTTCCTTTCTAGGTTTCAGATGAGTGTATTTACTAACTGACAGCTTTTGAGACAAAAACTGGGGTTTTTAAAGGAATTTTAAAATAAATATATACAGGGAAACAAATCTAAGTGAATTAATACAGTTCCATTTTCTCCCTTTAATCCTGGGTGAATCAGATGTTAGTCATACAGATTCGGACTTTTCCACTAAGATAAAGTGGGTTGACACTCCTGGAAGGTCTGGAAGGTCCTCAGTCCTTTGCCCAAACTGTTCACCTTCTTTGCCTCAAGGTGGGGGCCCAGAAAGTGATACATTTCAGGGCTCCAGACATTGAGCTTCTTGTTCTTAGTCTTGCTCTCTGCCCACTCCATGTTCCACTTTGCAGTATTTTCAAGCTGCCCTTTTTCACCGTTTTCAGCCATTAAATCAGGTGTACAACACCAAAAAATTGACTTGTTTTATTTTTCATAATTGAATATGTCTTTCAAGTTCCTGTTTCACCTAGCTTATTCCAAGTAAGCCTAGAATATAGGGGTTCTCAGTCCAAGGTAAAGCTGCAGAGAAGGGAAACAAAAGAACAAAGACAAAACTAAAGTATAAATATTTGAAGTCTAAACATAAAAACAGACAAGAAGAGAAAGAAAAGATTGTAAGTTCTACTTTGATACCCTTTGCAGTCAGGCAAAGATATAAAATTCCTTCAAAGAAAACATTTTCACTGATCAAAAATTCTAGCTGCATGATAACATTTTATCTGATATAGATGATTAGGAATTCTTTGGGAAACGGTTTATAATTGTTATGGTGTTCATACACGAGGAAAGGTGGAGGAGCAATATTTTCAGTATTTAGAAGAATAGACTTGAGCTAGATTATCTAGGTACAGATCATGGTGTCATCCCTTTTTACCTATGAGACCTTGGGCAAGTTACTTATCCTCTCTCTGTGTTGGTTTCTTCATTAATATAATCAAGTATAAAGAGAATCTGTCCCAGATGGATTTTTTTTTTTTATGGTTAAACAAGTTAATATTGACAAAGCATTTAGAACAGTTGTGGACATAGAAATCACTCTACGATGCTAGTTGTCATTGGAAATCCCCTTTCCATCATCCCCACCACCACCATCATCATTATCATCACTGATTTGTATTACATAGGGACTCAATCTAATGTTCCCATTCTTTTAGAGTATAATTGCGTAGCCACCTAATCCATAAGTAACTAAATTACAGAGCATCACCATTTAGAATAGTTTAACCAAAGAAATAGTAACATATGTAGGAATAATGTGCATTTGTACTTTGGAACATATAAACTTACTCAGATCTTTCAATTCTGAGACTGGGCCACCGTTTCTCTCTACTTGATTATATACTTAATGTGTAGAAAGGTTTATTCATAGTGACTCTACTTGTTTTGGTGTTATGATACCGAGTATATTTTCCCAGGATTTTAGGTTAGAGACTACCGACAAAGAAATATTCCAGGAGTCAGAATTAGACGTAAATTATATGCTACAGAGGTGTCTTCTTATTACCAGAAGTCAGGCCAGAGTCTCTAAAATCACATTAGGGTACTGTTTTTGTGGGTATTGAGTTTCACCCTTGAGAGAATTAAAAGAGCTAACAATGACGTATAATAAATCTTACTCTGACCCAAACATATTTAGTGATTAAACTTCCCAGGAATCCCAGTTCTGTCAGCTTAAATAAGTAGAAAACTTACATTTTTACTCCTTTTTCACTTTCCATTTGGAGAAGTAGATAAAAATAATTACTATATTTGTCTGTTTAATTCATTTAGAGTTAATGCCTTATTTACATGCTTGGAATTTTGATTTGAGATGAAAGGAAACAGGAAAAGGGTGAGCCGTTTTTTTATATACAGGAGCAACTGGCTCTCTATTTTTTAATTTTTATCTATTTTCTTTGTCTCAATCCCCAGCCTCTGAGCCCAACTTGAAGGTGCGGTCCAGGTTAAAACAGAAAGTGGCAGAGAGGAGAAGCAGCCCCTTACTCAGGCGGAAGGATGGAAATGTTGTCACTTCATTCAAGAAGCGAATGTTTGAGGTGACAGGTAATTGAGGACTGTGCAGACATACACTAAGAAAAAAAAAAAAATGCCGGTAGGAGGAATGAAAATAAATAGCATAGAACAAATATGGCTGTTGCGTATTAAAAGTTATTTTGAGGAGAAACATGTCTTGAAATTATATTGAAAACTCACAAGTAGCTCAGTAAACCTTGCCATGCATTCACCAACTGTGTTTAACAGGAAATGAATGAAAAACAGAACTATGTGTCAATCTAGGCATAACTAGGGAACGCCAAAGCTCACCTTCATCTTTTCAGAAACAGGCAGTCCGTTTCAGGAATGCCAACCAGAAGAGTATAGCTTTTAATGAAATTTGATCAGAAATGAGCAGAGGGAGGTCCAAGAAGAACGCTTCCCCCATACTCAGACACGAATGTACAAAATACATCTGGGAAAATTAAACTATGTGGAACAGCAAAACCTTGACTTTTCAACAAATTTACAGAACTCATAAATGATTTTATGTGTTTACTAGTGAACTGGGACTTATGGCAGGAGGGGGATATATTGCCTTTTAGGAAGGGAAAGAAACTGTCATTTTCAGTAGTCTCCAATGGAAGCGTTCTTATTTTTTTAGCTGCCTGGTTAGTGGTGGGGTGAACAGGTTAGGAAATTCAACCTGATGTCTTACAAAGCTTCTGGTCCCAGTTGTACTTGGTCTGAAATTAGAGAAGACCTAGGGATACAAGAACCAAAAAGGCTAGCCAAAATAATAATACTGACTACTGTTTATTGAGTACCTACTTGGAGCTATATGCATTGTATTTGGTCATTTCCTTCAGTTACATTCATGGAGAAGTGGTAATCTGCAACCATTTTTTTTCCATTTTCAAGGAAGATTGTGCTTAAGCCAGTGTAGTCAGTTGCTCTCATTTCTCCAAGATCAGATCTTATCCTTAGCAGGTAAGGGTAATAATTTTTCAAAATGATTTGTTTTCTGTATCTCCTGTGGCCATGAGAGTGCCTGCTTTCGGGAGACAATAGGGAAAAGATTGTGGAGGTAGGAGTGGGAAAGTATAGAACACTAATGTGACATGGTAGTTTGACAGGTTATTTACGAAAAAAAAAATGGGTAGTTTCCTACTCATTCCTGACAGATTAATAAATTTAATACAGATTTAATAAAAAATTTTATCTGAGGCAAAGTATTAGTTGGAAAAGATTTCCTTGACAGGTAAGAAATATTAAAAAAATAAATAAATATTACTTTACCAAAGTTTATATTTATTTTTCAATATCAAATATAATCACTATTTGGACCATTTCTAAATTCAGAACTTTTTTTTTCCTTCAGAACACAGATTTGTACTTAAGAAAATAAAAATCTTAATTAAGTTTTCATAATAAAGGTACTTGGTGGGATTGGGGAGTTGGAGAATGAATCTGTGTTAATGAATGTGAAGAAGATGAACATATCAATTGTCTAATGTAAACAGATATAAGTGATTATTCTAATTGGAGAGAGTACGCTCCCTCATAACGGGAAAACTTGAAGAAAATAGAAAGCCATATATATTGCTTTGCTTTTTTTGTTTGTTTTTGCTTTAGAGTCTGATTAATCTAAGGTCATGTTTATTTATCCCAGTGTTCTCTTCTATTTTCCTATTAACCTCTTCTTGATCATAACTTTTTCCCCACCGTCACTTGCCACATTACAGTGGAATTTTGCTCAATACCTATCTGGGTAATGATTAATTCTAACTTAAACGGGTTACAATTTGCCAGAGTTTTACTCAAGTTTCTTTATTTTTGAAATACCATATTTTTCTCTCCCTAATTTTGTGAGATAATGACTCCCCCTCTCACCTAAGGAAATAATGTGTATCCCAAGAGGGACTTGTATGTTTATTAGATGCACATATCTGGTCAATGAGCTAGGACTTGTGGACGCTTGGTAGAGTTTTTTAAACTAGTATGTTGTACTTATTCTCAATGTCTTTGGAAGATCTGAACTACCAGAGACAGCTTTATTCACCTTTTATTCACTCCTCCCCCTTTTCTCTGCCAGCTTTCACGTAATTTGGATGAACTCTGTTTGGATCTTCATACTAATTGTTTTTACTGTCTAGTCAGAGACCATCGTGGCATCATATAGCAGTTAAATTGCTGTTGCTGCTCTTCTCACACCTCTGCATCTCCTTTCCCCATTTCCCAGGTTCAAGTGCATGCTTTTTCCAAACCCCATGCCCCGTCTCCTCCCAATAGTTGACATGGGAGCCACTTGCCACCTCCCTCTTTTTTAAGTTCCACAGTTTTCTGCCCCCTTTTCTCACCAAAGCCATGTTATTTAACAACTCTAAGCCTTGGCCCTTCCCTGTGCCTGCAGTGCCTTCCCCTCCACTCCCTTCTTCTCCATTGTCCCCATTTCGTGAACTACTGCTACGTCTCTTCAAGCCCCAGTTGCCATCTCATTTCTTTTCTGAGATTTTCTCAGTGTTCCCAGAAAATCAGTTGCTAGCTTCCCTACCTCCCCAGGTCCAGTGCCATGTTGTAGAAACCTGTTGCAGCAAGTGTTTGTTACCTGGAATTCTCGTGCTCACGGCAGCGATTTCTGCATAAGGAAATACTTCTGTCTGAATATCGCACACAAAGATATAAATAATACGACTTTACATTGACAAGGCAGATATAAGAAAAGAACTTTTTTGTCTTTGTTTTTAAAGACAGGATATGAAAATGAGACTTTAATGAGAAATCAGTATTTAGTCACGCAGGAAAGGCAAGAGTTAGGAGTCTGGGGGAAAAGAGCTCCTTGAAGTATTTTTTACTGTGTATTTTTCTCATTAAAAGAAAAGCAAATAAGAAAGAATCAAAGATAAAAAGCAGATTCATCAAAATGCAAGCAAAATACAGAGACAGAAAGGCAGCGAGAAAGATGTGTTTAAGAATTTTACACCAATGTCCTTTTTTCCGCCCCTCATCAAAAGCTTCTATAACGTTCTCTAACTGTTCTTACTTACCTAGAAACTATGGAGTACTGTGTTGTAATTTTAACAGTGAAAACAAAGGGAGAAAAGTGGTAGGAGAATTCAGAAGTGCTTCACAATTTTTCACAGTCCTTTTTGTGGACTGAAATGGGGCTCGTTGTTCCCGTGGGGAGGGGGGGAAAACAGTGTTCGGTGCTGTATGTTACTTACAGTATCGCTGAAGCTCATCCTTGTATGGTTGTCATGAATCTGCTTGTGCTTCACAATGTCTTCCAGAATCCTCGGTCAGTAGCAGCTCCCCAGGGTCTGGCCCCAGCTCACCAAACAATGGGCCAACTGGAAACGTTACTGAAAACGACACCTCAGTTTTGCCCCCTACTCCTCATGCTGAGGTAAGACTCTTACTGTTTTGGTCCTTTTAAAAATTAGATCCTTGATTAGCCCTGTAAAACAAAGTGATATTTCTGAAGTGTAAAGCCGCTGGTTCTTAGTTATTTTTCTTACAAGCTTATCGTGTTTGGAATTGGATTAGACGTGATGTTATTTACCCAGTTTGGTTGACAGTTATGGTTCGGAAATAATGAAATGTAACCCTCGAAAAAACCATTCTTAGTGATACTGAAGGTATGCTGTCCAGCTGTTGTACAGCTTGGCAGTGTTGTGTTTGGTTCTTGGTTATTCTGATGGGAGTAGACCCATACATAAGTAAAAACAACTCTGTGCAAACCTCTCGAAGAACAGCCTAGCAAAGTAGGTTTTATCCATTTGCCCTGGAGAGTAATGAAAAAATAATTGAAGTATTATAGCTGAGGAACGTAGGGCTCCACTGAGCAAACATTTGCTGAGGACCTACTAAGTGCCAGTCATTTTGCCTAGCAATGGGAATGTAAGGATGAATAAGGCACGAACTGTGTTTCTGAAAAATGAAATAATTAAAGGAAATTGATCTGATTGTATGTAGTCAACCCTAAGAACATTTGTTTTTCAACACCTAATTTATTGAAACCAATGATACAAGAATAGAGGAAAATAAATTTGTGAGTCAACAAGAATTTTTGTATGTAGTTTTGGTATTAGGCTAAGCAAAGGCAACAGTTTGTAAGTAGCCATTCTCAGGGAATCCGCTGTTTTGAAGACACCATCAATTGAAACTCTTGATTTTTCTTTTCTGTCATTGTAATTCCTCCTTACCACGAATTGCTCTATGCAGGGAAAGCTGGTACGATAACTTCTCATATATAACTGTAACATGCTTCTTCCCTTGTATTTGATACAGTTGTAGTAACTTAGGTTTGAAAGAGACTGATCAAATCTCTGCTTCTTGGATCACCTATATAGCTTTCCTGATGTGTAGTTATCAAACTTTCGCTACAACACTTCTACTTATAGGGCGCTCCCTTTGCTGTTTCCTGAGACAACTCAGTTGATTTTAGAGAGTTAGCTTGACAGAAATGTCTTCTATACATAATGCTAATATCTGTGTCTCTATAATTCCACACACACACTTATAATAAATTATTTCTAAATTGTAAAATTACCAGGCCAAAATATAACTGAAGGCAGAAAACCAGAGGTTATTTCTGGTAAGTAAAGAACTTAAAACAGTGGAGTCACTTTTGCTCTGAGGACATTTGTGTACTTCAGTTTTTTGGGTTTTTTTGTGTTTTGGGTTTTTTTTAAAGATTTTATTTATTTAGTTGACAGAGAAAGAGAGAGACAAAGACAGGGGGGAGCGGTAGAGGGAGAGGGAGAAGCAGGCTCCCCGCTGAGCAGGGAGCCTGACGCGGGGCTTGATCCCAGGACCCTGAGATCACGACCTGAGCCAAAGGCAGATGCTTACCGGACTGAGCCACTCAGGCATCCCTGTGTACTTCAGTTTTGAGTTTTGGTTTTCAGGGCCTCACAACACTCGAGATAGAAGGCGAAGCTCAGTACTGGCCAAGGAGGATAATCTAACATGAAATTAAGCTGGAATTTCAAAAGCTCATGTCTACACTATGTTGGTGAGTCCCTCACCTTTACCCCCAGAAGTCCGGATGCAGACCAGAGCGGGGACAGGATTTCCCCTGAGAAGTTTTAACCAGAAGCTAGCTAGTCCTTGCATGGAGTTGTAGCCCAAATTTCCATAATTTCAAACTGTCATTTTGGTTTAAAGTGCCCCAGATTTGTTAGGGCCCCTCGGTGTCTGGAAAAGCAAATATAAATCCTCTCTAGAAGAATACACAGCATTCTAGATTTCAAAAATTTCCTTCAATTTTCCAAGGAAAATGGGTAGAGGAGATAGACATTCTCTTGCTTATGATCAGCTTTCAGCTATTTGAAGAATAACAATTCAGGCCTCAACATTATCTCCAGGTCCTTCATCTATTTCTTGTTTTTCACAGTCCTGCTGTCCCTCTTCCCTTCTTTATCATCCCTTCTAAAACATGATGCCAGATAGGATAAGTTCTTCACATATATTTGTGATCAGAAATGTAAGTGGGATTTTCAGATCGTTGGTTATAGATACTTTATTTCTGTTAGTGCAATTATATGTCAGTATTAGTCAGTTTTCTGTGACCCTTTAATCAGTTTCCAGAAAAAGAACAGTTGGTCACAGATGGTTTTAAAAACTTTAGATTTCCATTGCCTCTCAGTTTGAAGAATGATTCTTCAGTAATAGCAGAAACACTAAAGGGTCTGCATTCTAAATCAGCTCTGGATGAATTTTGTGCCCTTGGAAAAAGAAATGACACAGTAAACTACATTCAACAGTATGTATGATTCTTAGAAATGCATTGTTAGTGCTAAAAGGTGCAAAAGACCACTTATAGTATATAATAATATTTTATTAGGTTCAGAAACAGCAGTACGGTATCTTGATCAGGAAAGCATAGGTAGGAAAAGTATATTTTACAAAGGTTAAGGGTGTGATGAACACAAGATTTAGCATGATGGTTACCTCCCTGGAGGGAGCAAGGTGGGGAGGGTGGGGAGAGACATGGTTTGTTACTAAAGAGGAGGATACATATATTCTTTCATTATAAATACATATCTATGTATACAGTACTTAGTACAACATAGAAGAACAATCAAGAAATATATATTTGTGAGATTAGAAATAAATGGAAAAAAGTGAGATTTTTCTCTTTACTTCAAACTTTTTATGACCTGTTATATTGAATCTCCCAGATTATGAGACCTTATCTTTAAATTTCAAAATACATTGGAGAATGAAAATTAAAGGAATTTTTTAATGTTGTTTCAATCTACTTTTTACTCCTAAAGCCTTCACTGTCACAAATATCTATTTAGAATGCCCTGCCTTTTCATCTACTTACTGAACATTCTGTTACTACAAACCTTTCCTTCCACCCCCACCAGCAAGAAGGAAAAAAAAAAACAAAAAAACAGAAGGAAATGTGATTTAATGGAGTTTGAAAGAGTAGAGGTATTTCTTCAGGTCAGTGACAGGACATTCACCTCCAAAGCTGGAAAGACTAGTTCAAAAGCAAGCAGTGACTTACTTCATAATGAATTAATTGTGTGCCTGAACTATGATCCAAAAGGCCAGGTGGGCAGACCTTTATGCACTGATGGGTAGCCTCTCCATGGCCCAAAACAAAAAATTCAGCCCTGATGGCTAACATGTGGTTTTCTGCTGCATTGCATTTACAGAGGTCTGTAACGTAATTCTTACTGGAGAGCTAAAGAGACAGCAGAATTCAGACGGAAACTCTCAACAAATTAATATCCTCGCTCTTGTAACACAAAATGCTTGCACCTAAACCAGAAAAAGAGGAAAAGAAATATTTTCAGCCAGTTCTTGATTAGCAGTCATTTCAGATTTAGTATGATTTTTACAGACATCTTTCAAGATTAACAATAGTGTATAATTTCATATCAACAGAAATAGTTTTAAGTCGTGAAAAATATACATCATCAACTATACTTTCAAAAGCCAAGCTAGCTGCACACTTCACCATTTACAAAAGAGGCTTATTCTACCATCTTTGGTTAAACAGCAGAGGCGAATTTTCATTTTTAAATAGTTTAACAGTGTACATTTGTATGAACTCTTTATTCTGTGACCCTAAGTAGAAAAGCATGTCACCCAATTCTTTCAGAGCCCATGTAAATGAATGGGATTCTACTCCCTTTTACTGCTTAGGGAAGAGGAAAGTAAGGCTGTATTTCAGGCTGATGTTGAGGCATAGGCAAAAAGAAAATTTTTAGCTTGTAATTCACGTGTCTTACATAATTTAGCTGGAGGTTAAGACAGAAGTAGGAGAATTTACTCCTAAGTTCGGAGAAGGAAACAGCACAGCGAATTCAAACGTATGGGTCTTCCATTTGCAAGGCTCCGCAGGAACCCGGCTCCAAAACCAACTACCTTGTCATCGTTGGCTAAGTCGCTAAACTTGTCCCTGACCTCAGATTCCTTATCTAGTGAAAGGTGGTCATGCCTCCTCCAACAGTGTTGTTGTGAGGAATCAGTGTTGGGAAGGCGGGTGGTGAATTGTGAAGTGTGAAAGGAGTTCGTTTTTTGTTGTTGTTATCAATACTGACTCCTAGTAGGGAAAACTCATTAGCATGTTTGTCTTCAAGCCAGCAAATCACATGCGAGAGTGAGTCTCCATCTGCTCAGACCACTTCTGTTCCATTTCTTCTATTTCTTACATATGCTCAGTCGTGAACTCGGATTGTTGGAGCTACTTGTTTTCCTCATTTGTAAACTTGGTTGGGGAGCTGAAACCTCAGGAGTTTCTATTTCCACTCCAGTCAGAAATGTCTTTACCTATCTAGTTACTTTATTGTTAATACTGCGGGCCTGTGGGTTCAGATGTTTCCATGAATATCAACACCATTATTTTAGATTCCGTAGATTTATTTGATAGCTATGCTAACAGTAGCCAAGCAGCTGGTTTGTTTCTATTTGAACATTAGTGGCTGGCTCCGCTAGGCTATTTTTTAAATCATTTTTTTTTCCAGCAGATACAAACGATTTTTTAAAAAGGATTCTAATAAAACGTTAAGTGCTCTAAAATCATCTGAAATGTCACTTGTTTTGCCCCAATCTCACATGACTCATCTGCCTATTGTTTCATAATGGTTGTTGTGACATTTGCTGTAAATGTTATGCTCCCTTCTGAGTGGGTGTAGAGCTAGGGTTTTAGATGGCAGAAAATGAGATGCTTTCCCCCCATCTTTGGGGAGAAGAGGTTGCTATGACAGAAGAATCATTTAGGAGGAATAACATGAGTCAATATTGTAGAGCAAGACCTTTAATGAAACCTTCAGCAGTGCCTTTTAAAATGCAAAGGAAGCCCTGTCAAATGATAATTTCTTGTCTCCAGATCATTTCACAGTAATACATTCTTGGATGTCCAGCAAAAATAAAAACTTAGAGATG